GGGTTGACATTGTCTACATCCACATCTCTACACGTCTCTCTCGGGTGACAGCCGTGTGTCAGGCTCTCTGCTGTCTTCTCCAGATGGCCCAGCAAGTGGCTCCCAGGGTCCTCATGATTGTGGCGCTCATTGACCGGGGCCGGGGTTCTCACGGCCTGGGGGCCTGCTGACTCATTGCTGCTGCATGGCCTCTGGGGCCTTTGAGGCCTCAAAAGGGCTCCGGGGTCGCCCAGTCGTGACAGCCGAGACAATAGAAGTGTCCTCGCTTAGCTCCCCACCCACTACCGATCAGCCGATTGTTAACACACACGTATCCTCTCTCACACACACTCACACTGGTTTTTGGCCTCAACATCCTGATCCCAGTGGGTAGACAGGTCGCCGAGTCGTCAAACCTCCATTTTTTTCACACTCAAATTTGTTACTTTTAATTACAACTGCAAAACACATACATAACACAATTTTAAACAATTACGCCAGGACATAATTATACAATAACACTTTATGAAGCCAGAACACTCTTCCTACATCTAAATCCACCTACTCGCTGTGAAAGGCACAAACGTGTAAGTGGATCAAATCCATCATCGGCTACAAAACGTCACTTCACAGTGAGCAAAAGCAGTTCTGGCAGATCTATTATCCTCCCCCCGACTGAAGGTGATTTACATGTTTAGAAATCACAGCGAGGAAGCAAGAAAAAGTTCTAAACAGCACATTCCTGCATTGGTTTTAACAGCTTGGCTGCCACTTCATCAAATATTGAATAAATCATTTTCTTGGCACAGTATGAACACAGCTGCAAAGGAAAAAAGAGAGAGAGAGAGAGAAAAGTTGCACACAAATCCACACACGCGCGCACAAACACGGACACGCAGAATGCCTTGTAGTTTTGATAAAGCAGCAGCTTTCTCTTTTGTTTTGCAGCCGAGCAGGGATTAGGCAGTGCCCGTCTTTGTCCTGCAGTTTTCCAGTTGAGCAGCACACAAGAGCCTCTACCTCCACTAACACAGTCAGACCTCCCAGCAGGCCTTTCACCACACAGCCGCTAAGAACCTGCTGCCTAAAAGATGCTTTTCAACGAGTTATAAAATCTCCTCTATACTGTCCATGTCTTTAAGCCAAGTCTCTTTGTCTATTCTCTTTCATCGGGGCGTTGAACACATCAAATGGAGCTGATGGGCAGATAGATGGACAGTAGAATGAAGCAGAGCCACAATCATCTAGTTTAGACCCCGATAAGTACAGTCAAGGCTTAATATGTGAGGACTTTCACAAATAAACCAATACTACTTCGATTTTTTTGACCTTTCAGAAACAAAAATGATTGGGGAAAAAAAACTGTAAATAAACAAAATTAGCAACACTGTAAAAAAAAAATAAAACCCAAACACTTTATCAGCAGTAATATCGAGAAAAATCAGATGTACTATTAGGATTAATAACCGGGGAACAGATATGCAAACATACTTTAATACCTTTCTATAAACACTGATTTGTTCTTCATTCAGAAACTAGAATGTGGAAACAACAGGCATTTCTTAGCTGCTATCTAATCATTTAAGCCATTCTGACTGAATCCTTAGTTTGCCAGCAGGATAACTTAAAGGCTACAGCTGTGAAAATGGATTCAACGTACAATTTGTACTCTGGTTCCTCAAATAAAAGGATTTTCTTTTGTCAAGCATAAAATACTAGTGTGAAAACAGTTGTTATGGCACCGGGAGAACAGATCGACTACAGTTTGTTTACTTACAGCCATGTGCAAACGTTTAAATCCAGATTTTCTTCTCATGTTTTAAAGGGCTGCCATTATGGTCTCTACTGTCACCATGAACACTCCCAACATGAATAAAAACACAACATGAATAAAAACACCATCCGTTTTCTGTCAGTGTGTCTAAAACAAACCTAAAGTCCTAAAGTCTCCGTTTGTTTATATCATTCCAGTTTTACTTTTCGGACCAATACCGATATGTTAAAAATAACTAACATCGGCTGATACCGGTATTGATGCCCGTGTATTGTGCACTTTCTTCCAATCAAAGCGAACCTTCAGAGAACGGTGTGGCTCTATTTCTTGTTCGATGGCCGTGCCCCAGCAACAATCCACAAAAATCTTTCTTCGAGAATCTCGGACAACACACATCATCAGGATTAGTCAGGAAACATCTACAGATAAAAGGAGCCATACCTTCTCTCCATGTCAAGTCAGCAAATGACGGAGATAGAATAACTTTTAAGTTAGTGTTTCTATCACAGTTAGCATTAGTTTGCCCTGTAACCAGTAGTGCTGAGATGTGCATGCTTTTAAATTAGGATAGCACCTCTGTATTCTGTCAATTACATGTGTGATGAATGCCAAGCCAATCAGGGAAAGGGTGGGCATGGCCAGCTCTAATTTGTTTTCTTAAAAAGACAATGTGTAGTTTTTACCATGAATTTCTGGAAATATCCATCAAAACGTTGATGAAAATGAATGAAATGATGCCCGGCTGTTGAAAAATATTGGCGGCTTCATAACATGTAACCATAAAAATCAGGTCTACAATACATGGGAGTGGATCTAAGTGTCTGGGCGACACCATATTAGATGCCATGCTTCCTTCTACGGGAGCCCATGAGGACAAAATGCATTTACTGATTTGTAAATGACAGTTACAAAACATTCGTCATTCTTAAATGTTGTTGGTTTCAGTGATGAAAGAGAGTCTGATGTGCTTGTTTTTTTGCTGAAGTTTGCACTCCCCAGGGCTTTTTGACTCTAATGAGCATCCGTTGGCAAGGTCTTACTCCAACACAAAAATACTGCTTGCTTGCAACAATATAGGCATCTACCTATCACTAGGGAAAATACACACTGTCACTTTAAAGAGACAGAGCCCTAAAACAGCTCATTCTGGAAGGTACTGAAAATGTCAAGAGTAAAACTGCTGAAATCGCTTTGTGAGAGGGATTTTGTGACAAAGAAAACTTTATGGACACGTTTCGTAAACAACATGGAACTTTTATAATTAAAAAAAATTATATTTATTCTGTAAATGATGTTCCTGAATTTCAGAAGCTTATGCAAAGTTTTTCATTCATCAGCACTTTTCAGCTAATGATGCTTTTAGAGCCTCCTTCTTGGAGTTCAACACCCTTTCACGTGTCAAATTTAGTCTTTTGTTAGAGAAAACAAATCTGAATCTAATATATTTAAATAAAATTGATCATATCACATCACACATTGTTGAAAGATCTGATTTTAAACAGTTTTTTGTTAAGTTATCTGATAAGTGAGTTAGGAGCCTTTTGCGTGAATAAATCATGAACCAGAATTAAGTGACCTAACAAATACACAAACAAAATACGTCCAGGTACTGGGAAGAAAATGAGTGTAAAAGCAGCCAAGTGTCAATAAAACCTTTAAAAAACCTCCATGAAGTCTAGAAAACTGTTGATCGAGACCACTTTAACAGGGGTGACTCGAGACTTACACATTTATTTCAATTTTCAGTGTCAGCTTTGGGGAAGTTATTTAAATCAGCATTCAAAAACACCCTTTTATCTGATGCAAGCTTTAATTAATATAAATGTATTAAATGGAATTCAAGTACACTTAGGTAATTGCTGAATACTCCCACACAAACCATAAACTGCTGATTATTATATATGTGTGTTTTTATGCATAATTGGCCTCATTTATCAGAGTTTTCAGCACCATTTTCCCGTTTTTATAACTGCCTCAGAGGTCTCTCTGCAGCAGGCCCAGCAGAAAATGCTGCAGGGGTCTGGATGAGTTCATTAGGAGTCCACGCCATTTATGCACAGTCACACATGAGGCAAAGGTCAGCCAGGATCACCCAGGTGGACACTGCATGTGGGCGCCACTTTGATTTCAGACTGCACTAAAACCACGCTGATTTGCCTGCAGTCTGGTAACGACTTAGAAATCATCACACTTTAGTTGTATGTTGCCAAATACAATGTCACTACAGCTTTTGTGGAGCTGGAAATATGCTCCAGATGAAGGTGGAAGTTTAGTCCTGATCACAGAGGACTCCTGGTCCTTCATCTGACACCTGAATGTCAATTTTATCCGTCTTTGCAGAAGGAAATGCAATGTGTCAAAAACCAGGAGAAGTCCCTCCCTCCATTCTTAGGAATTGTTATTCAGGTGGGTTGAATTGAAAATTCATCTGCATGGCTCAGGCTCATGATGGTGTTGACATAACATTTGGTCTGACATTTCAACCCTGCTCACGCCGATCATTAGCTCTCACCACACGAAACCTCATCAAAGTGATTTGTACGAGGGAGAAAGAGAGGAAAAAGGAACAAGAAATAAATGTTTTTGATTTTTAAGAAACTCACGTTGTGAGGATTATCAGCACAAAACAAAAGAAAAGACGTTTCTGCCGATAACATCATTTCCCACAAAGGTGATATTGGATGATATTGAAGTATTGCCATTGTCCTGGAAGTCATTTCCAACCCAAGCAAGGACACACACATCCAACACACACGTCTCACACACATGACAGGATGACCGGGGTGCAGGCAATAAGCAGGGGACCAAAAGCAGTGCATTCTCACAATCTCCTGTCAGAGGGTGACAGCTCTCCATCAGTCTGCATCAAACAAGAGCGGCAGGCATACGAAGAAGAAGAAGAACGTTCTGATGGACCAGCACCAACCTGCCTCAACCTGTCGCCCTGCTGGATGTAACAAACCAAACAAACTGCCCTGCAAACTGTGTGTGTGCGCGCGCGTGTGTGTGTGTGTGTGCGCGCGCGTGTGTGTGTGTGTGTGCGCGCGCGCGTGTGTGTGTGTGTGTGTGTGTGTGCGTGTGCGTGTGCGTGTGTGTGTGTGTGTGTGTGTGTGTGTTGGAGCTGCAGGAGTGGCTCGAGAAGTCCAGACCGTGACAGAGTGGTCTGGCTTGTAAAACTGAGATGACGCAGAATGAAGGTTGTCTGAGGATCTTTGTGGGAAGGTGATGAAAGGACGCTCTTCCTCACCTGCAGCTTGAACCAGGTCTGCAGTGGTGACATTCTTGGGATTTGGGCCGACTCGGAACGTGAGCGCAGGACCCAGGACGCTGCAGGGGACCAGAAAGAGTAAAAACAACATGTCAGGAAGAATTTACACACCTCCTCCGCTTGTCGTTTCCAGAACATGTTTGATTTTGGCCCTCTTTTATGTTGAATTTATTTCACAGTTTTTGTTGGTTCACTCAATCCATTGTCTTACACATTTGTCCTGTACCAGAATGTTTCACCTATTTTGTAATTTGAATTGCTTTTATTTTTGATTTATTCAATATATTTACCTTCAACTGTACCATGTTCAGTGCTTTGGGCTTCCTGACAGGGTTGCGGAAGGCGCTTTATAAATAAAGCTTTGATTGATTGATTGATTGATTGATTGATTGATTGATTGATTGATTGATTGATTGATTGATTGATTGATTTAATGACTCAGTTCCTCCAGGGCATGACGGTTTTTGGCTTTCTGTAATTTTTTAATTCTCTGCAAAGTTGATTTTTGCTACGACCGGAGTCGCAGTAAACGGCAACGTAAATGTGGTTTTAAATTCTAGGACACCTTCAGTGTTGGAAGTAACAAAAGACAGAAATAAGTAAGACATTATGAATGTGCCCATTTCTCTCCTAAACTTGGATTAATGTTTTCCAAAACTTTAATCTCCATTCAGTTTGAACACATTTACATATTAAATCTAACTTATTAACGTTTTTCTTAATAACTTGTACCCAGCTGGTACCTCGTGCACCCTTTCCAATCTGTCGGGCCAGGAATCAGCGACAGACCTCTCTCCCTTCAGCCAAGTAAATACAGCACGTCCCCGAGGTAGGTGATCAAATAAAATCCAACCATTGCAGCACTCTCTTGGAACCCCCCACCACAGTCAAGGAGAATAAAATAACAGTGTTGTAAACGTGTAAAGAAATAACCCCACTCTTGTTGAGTAGAGCCTCTTTAACTCTCAAATGAAAAGATCTTCATTCAGTAAAAAGCTGAAACTAAAGAAAAAGGCTGTATTGGGCAGATAAAACAACAAATAAATTCTGACTAGTTCTTCATAAAAGAGGCCAACAAGGCAACGAAAAACATTTTATCCTCAGATGAGTGATGAAGACTCAAAGGAAATATCAGCAACAGATATGGCAGTAGCATGATAGGCAAGTGAGATTATTTTCTTTTAGTTTAGTTAAATGGAAACATGTAATGACTGAGTCACTGAGGATCAAAACAAAGCGTGTGTAAAAATATCATCAGTGCACAAAGGCAGATGCATTGGCCCTTGAAGAGAGAGAGAGAATTTTAAATAAGAGAAATAAACATTCAGCATCGTGTCAAATATCTGGAGTATTTTTTTAAGTCTCAAATGGTTAATTTTCCTAAAACTACAGGAGCGTATACGATTCTACCTGGATCAAATGCAAATCAGTGTTTGAAAACAGAGGTTCAAAGACTCATTTAGTTCAAAATCAAAACAAGAAGGTTTTGCTAGAAAATTTTGTATAAATTTAAAACTGCAACCCACAGACAGGAAGGGATCCAATGGTAAGGATGTGCTGAATCATATCTTCCCTGATACAGCACAGTTTTGTAGATGTGTAGTAAAAGTGCTGTTACTTGAAAATGAAGTCACAGAAAAACACGTTTTATTTGAGTGTTTTGATAGTGTTTAAAATGTTACTGCTAAGTTTGATGAAATATTGTTGAAAAAGATGGTAAAGAAACTGTGATGATGATGATGATGATGATGATGATAATAACGACATGATGATGGCATTTGTAGCAACAGTGATGATGATGATGATAACGACAATGACAACAATAATGATGATAACAACAATTATTATAACAACGATGATGATGATGATGATGATAACAATGTTGATGATGATTTCAACAACGATTATAACAGTGATAACAACAATGTCAGTGATGACGACATGACAATTATAACAACAGTGATGATGATGATAACGACAATTATTATTATAACGGCGATAGTCATAAGGACGATGTCGATAATGATGATGATGATGATAACGACAATGATGACGATAAGACAATTATTATTATAATCACGGTGATAGTCATTAGGACATTGTCGATAATGATGATGATGATGATGATAACGACAGTGATGACAACAACGATGATGACGACGGCAACGATGATGATTCAATTAAATTCAATTCAAGTTTATTTATATAGCGCCAAATCACGACAAGAGTCGTCTCAAGGCACTTCACATAATAAACATTCCAATTCACAGTTCATTAAGCCAATCAGAAATAATGTTTCCTATATAAGGAACCCAGCAAATTGCATCAAGTCACTGACTAGTGTCAGTGACTATACAGCAATCCTCATACTAAGCAAGCATGCAGCGACAGTGGAGAGGAAAACTCCCTTTTAACAGGAAGAAACCTCCAGAGAATCCTGACTCAGTATAAGCAGCGATCCTCCACGACTCACTGGGGATCGAGAAGACAGAACACACACACACACACACACACACACACACACACACACACACACACACACACACACACACACACACACACACACACACACACACACACACACACAATAATGTGTCTATAGTTCTATTGTGATGTCTTAGTAAATATTCTATTTGGTGATGATAAAGACAGTGATGATGATGATAATGATAATGGAGTATGTATATGATGAAATCCATCATTTTGTAGGGAATGTTCTTTTAAAATGACAGCACAACAGCAGAGTAGCTATTTCCACCCGGACGGTTTTAGATGTAACACAGATTGACACTGGCTGCATTTCGGATCGTGATGCTAAGCTCCCAAAAGTTTCCGCATGAAATGTGTCTTTTTTTCTGGACGCAACAGGAGTATTGTCATGAAGTCATAGAAATGACATGAGCCAGACAGGAAGTGAGATGCATTTCAGCGTGGTGCGTCCGGTTGATTTCAAAATAACACCCATGTCACATTGTTTTTTCTGGCCTTTGTTTTATTATTAATGACAGTGATATAATTTCACAGTTCAAAAAGACGAGTGTGGCTTTTGTGCACTAGCTCCTCTCTATTTACATAGTTGTGATCATGTGAACGCAAGAGCAAATTTGGGTGTGAATGGCAGTCTATCTGGAAGCTGTATGGAACTGGAAACTGGACTGCATCCATCTCTTACTCGGTGTGAATAAGAGGTAAGCCCGATCACTGCAGTTGGGTTCATGGCAGCAAGTAAATAACACTAAAGATATTTTAAAGCAGTAATGGCTACTTTGGAAAACAAATTATCTTAAAACATTTTTTCACGTCTCTGAACAACTCGCATATGTCTAAAAACCTCTGTCAATAACACGTTCTGGACCAAAAGCAACCGTTGGACCGTTTAGTTGTCGATCTCGCTGAATTGCCGCACTTCTTTACGTTCCTGGGTCCTCCATTCATTACACACTCGCATATAACAGACCACCAGTGCTGTGACAGGTTCACCGGTCAATATCAGAGAAGGAGAAACAGCCGGCTGCTACCACTTCAACTTTAGGACAAACTACCAGAGTCCCAAAACAAAAAACACCATTTGAAGTCACGGACAACAAAAGACGTCTGGACCTAGAAAACGGCAAATGTTTCCTCTGGCAACACTGGATTCTGGTTCCAGCAGGAGCATCTCAGGGAATATATGGATGGGGAGAGGTGACTTTTCCGTGACCACGTTTGCGTTCAAAACCTAGCTTGTTCTGTGGATTCACTACAGCAGCTTTAAACAATTGCTACAAAGATAAACTTTTAATTTACAGCTCTATGTGCCGCAGGTGTGATGGAGTGCTAACGCTTGCCCCATTTTTCTGCACCTAAACCCTTCAGTATGTCATCATTTCTGACGTGTTTTTCCTGGAAAGTGCACATACATTTTTAGTGTACTTCCTGCCAGACTGCGCGACAGAGATTCATCAGACTGCCAGAGTGCTGCGACCCACTCTCCATCAGTCAGCCTGCTACAGACGCAGCGCCACTCGTTGAGCCAGGAGCAATATATGAGCCAATACAGCTCGACAGGCTGATCCAACCATGCAACAATGCATTTATGAACATGTGCTCTGTGCACATGCACACTTATGCACACACAGCTCAGAAAGAAATATGCCCTTCTCTAGCACCATCACCTGGGCTCTGCTCTCGTAAATGTCAATGTTTCCACAATCTTTACCCCCCTGCGTCAACTCTCCCTAGCCACGGGTGCACTGCCAGAGATCTCAATGCATCTGAAATTGAATTGACATCTTTTTTCCCCTCCCAAGCCACACAAACACTCTTAAAACACACGGGTGGGTAAAACACAGGCATAGTTCGTAGATAAAGTTAAGATGGATAAGTTATCTGGAGGAATTCACACTCCTGTCTTATCGAATGTTTGAGCTTGGAATTCATTTTAAATCTGCTGGTGGGACACGGCGGGCATTTCTGCAGACTTGTTGGAGGGATAATGTCAGAATGTGTGTGTGAGTGTGTGTGTTCACTTTGCACAGCCTTGTGAGTGTGTGTCCCACTCCCCCTAGTGTTTCTGTAGAGTAAAACACTTACGTCATCTCAAAGAGGTGAATATCATCCTAGTTTTTAAGCACTGTTTTGTGCTGATTACGCTGAGTCTCAGTGTAATTGTGTTCAGCATCTGAATGTCTTTAAAAGAGAAAATTCTCTCCTCAGGCTGTCTGATAATACTTCAAAAATCATTTGAGTGTCTCTCCTTCTCTGCTGCCATCAGAACTCATCAGAGCGGGCGGAAACGAGAGGCCGCCGAACAAAGCGGGGTGTTGTGCTCCGAGCCGGTCAACACACATTCAGTCAGAAGCTTTCAAACACTCACCTGTGAAGCTGCGCGCCAACACGGCACAAAGAGCTTGCGTCACGTCCTTCGTCTTGACTATTTTTACATGAATGCGCTTTCATTACTTTAGAAAAGTGAGGGAAGGAAAAATTTGAGGTAAACAAACAAAACAAAAACTCCATTTTTTCTTTTTGTCTTCTGAATGGAAACCGTGTAGATTTAAGGTATAAACACACTTTTAGA